CTCACTAATCTCGATTTAAGTAAAAATGCTAATTTACAAAGTTTATATTGTTATCATAACCCTAAAATTACTAAACTAGATTTAAGTCACAATTCCCACCTAACTGACTTACTGTGTGATTACTCCCTTTACCCAAATATTACGGGACTCGAAAACACTTCAATTGTCGATTTAAGGTTTGCGGAAACAATCTCCCAAGCACCAACTTCCAACCCCCAAGCAATTTGAAAAACTTTAATGGATATAAACAAAAAACATTTTCCCGAACTAGACCTGATTGATATTTCCGACCTTGACGAACTAGTTGACCAAGTGAACGAAAACACGGTTAGTGATGGAGAATTATTAATCCAAATTTTCCCCCATCTAAAAACCAAAGAAAAATGTGTTAAATTTAGTGAATTTCATAGAAAAGACAAAGGATATTTTTATTGGCTTTCTTTGATTTTTGATGAACTACTTAGTCGCATTATCAACCGTCTTCTCATTTACCAAAATCGTCTCTACGAAGGAAAAGATGAGGAATGAGAGCAAAAAATCAGTGGTTGACCACGAGTTTTGCCATTAGTCCCCAAAAATCTCGCCGCCGCTTCTGTTTCTACCCGCCAAGAGTTAGTCAATAAAGTTTTAAATGGTGATGAAGAACTTAGTAGTCGGATAAGTGATTTATTATGAGAGGAAAATAGCAAAATGAAACGAAGAAAAGCCGAATTAACCGAGCAACTAACGAAAACTCAACAAGAACTTAAAACCGAGAAAGAAGCTCACGAGCAAACTAAAAATACCCAACCCTCATTCTTAAAAACTCTTGCTACTTACGGCTTTCTGCCTTCGGTCCTGGGAAATTTACTCCTGGTAATTCTGCTCTTTCGTAACCAGAAAAAACCAGTTAAATTCCGTCTGCCCACTAAGCCCAAAAAAACTAACCAAGCCACAAACAAAAGCACCCAGGAAGAACTCCCACCCCAGTGAACCGAACATTCCGCAGAAAAATAAGACTAGCTTTTATCCCAACCAAACTAAAATACTAAAACATTAATTAAGTGTAATCACCTGGAAGCCCACGTTTATGCGAGCCTGCTGGAAGAAAAAACCGAGTGGGAATTTCCC